TCTATGCTTCTTGTTTAATAGTTACTATGTATAGTAGTTCTATTATTGAGTTTTTCCTCCCAGTAAAAACGACCAAAATGATGTTAAAATTTAATATAAATAATCTGATAAAGGTAAATGAAAGCTCAAAATAAATCAAATTTTAAAAATATTACAGTTATATTATGAGTCAGGGTCTGTGTCTACAATGTCTCTGGTGTGTGTGATTTTGTATGACACAAATTACATGAGAACCAATTTTTTTTTCCAGTTGTTATAGTTAGTGTTGATTTTTTTGCCTATAGAGAATTTTTTTTAACACATTCTGTATGTAACTGTTGCTGAAACTGAAACTTGAGCCGTTAATACAAAATAGTATAAAAACCAAACAAGGTGATAAGCGCACATATAAAAAGGATTAATTGCCTCACATACAGTCTCTTCTTAACTTAGAATAACATATATTAATCCTATTTAAAAACAGAAGTAGAACACAACATAGTGTAATCTGTCAAGATAACTTGTGAGTAAGATTTAGAATTCAGATCACTCACAACTTTCTGAGCCCATGAAAGTTGGCTCTGGACTTATGGAGCATATATGTCTCATTGTAAACATAAAATTAATTCCTCTAGCAGTTGGAGTCCCAACAGGTGCTGAATTGCTGGAAACAGGAACTCCAAAAAGAGGTAGATGTATAAAAAATATTTATTATAAAGATAAAAAATATAACATAAGTGAACAACGCGTTTCAACCCCACAAATGGGTCTTTCTCAGGTCCTAATAAAAGTTCTGTCAGTAACACATTCTTTATATACACACATATTACAATCAATTAATCACACATGTTGTGAAGGACACACCCATTTCCAAATATGTTCCAGACCGGATACGTATAGTGCCACCCCCAAGATGGCGCCGTTTCCAGTTCGGACATACACTTCCAGTCTTTCAGCCATATTGGTAGTGCTTTCAGAAATTGGTAAATGGGGTATACATTATAACAAATATAATAATATTGAATTAAATATTTGTCGTCATCGTCCCTGGTTGTCAAATATACCTAGAGGGCAGTTCCTGAGAATTGACAGGAACTGCACCAACAAGGGAGATTTTATTGCATAATTCACTGTTTTAAAAAACAATTTGAACTGAAAGGATATAATAGTGATGAGTTACAAAGCAATATAGATAAAGTTGCTGATTTAAATCGATCTCCATTACTTGAAAATAAAGAAAAGAAGACAGATAAGGACCAAGTTCCCTTTATTTTTAACTTTTCGAGCAATGTGGGCACTATTAAAAAATAATTAGAAAAATTGGCACATCCTTCAACAAGAGCATGACATATTAGAATATATAGGCCAAAAGCCAAAATGTATTTTTATAGGTGCAAAAAACCTTAAGCAAATTTTAACAAAATGTTTTGTAAAAGATGAACATCCCAAACTAATTCTAACAGATTGGTTACATGAACATAAATGGTTTTTTTTTCGTTGTGGGATGTGCAATGCATGTCGGAACACAAGAATATCAAATAAAAATGTTTTACCTTTAATTCCGCCATTACTAAGAAAGAATATAAAATGAAATCATTAATTACATGTCACTCTTATAATGTTATTTATCTTTTGTGGTGTACATGCAGGCTACAATATATAGGCAAGACATCTAGACCAATCAAAGTGAGAACCAGTGAACATGTTCGGAATATTAAAAAGGTTTTTTTAAATCATAGCGTTTCAAGGCACTTTTTAGAAAAGTACATGTCAGATCCAAGACATCTTGAATTTTGTTCATTAGAAAAAGTTAACGCTCATTGGAGAGGAGGAGATGCCGCAAAAAAATAAATTTAAGTATACAGGAGACTAAATGGATTTTTTAGTTACGCACCTTGGTTCCTAAGGAACTCAATATTGTTTTTCAGATAAATTCCATTTTATGAAACATACTCTGTTCCATTTGGTAAACATTCTAATTGTTTTGCTGCTAATCTGCTAAATAGTACATTTTGGGGCCTGCGGTGCACTTCATATCTGAGAGTCAAATAGAAGCATCAAATAGTGCGCTTACTGAGCACTTGTAAACATTGAATTGTTTTGCTGCTAATCTGCTGCTTACATTGGAGTTTCAAAAAGTCATTTTTTATTTTTTTGGTGCTAAATAGTATATTTGGGGTGTTCACTTCATATCTGAGAGTCAAATCGAAGCGTAATTTTGATTAAATTTAATACATCGGTCACTTGTAATATTGTTTCACACCTACAACACTTGTTACACAGATCTAAGTGATAGAAAATAGATTTTCTACACTAGAAACTACCAGATAACAAGCTGCTATATTTAAACCAGTGATAATAGCTAAGAGTTACTTCAACAATATTGTAATTGTGGGGCAATACACTCACAAGTCAAACCAGGGCCGGAGTGGCCCACCGGGATACCGGGAAATTTCCTGGTGGGCCGTCGGCACCTGGGACCGGGCAGACAGCTGTCTGACCTGTGGCCGCAGGGTGAGCTCTTCTGGCATCCGCAGGGTGAGCTCTTCTGGCGGCCGCAGGGAGAGCTGTATGTTCTGTCTCTGCTCCCCTGCCCTTGCGCGCTGCTGAATGAGACCGCGGCCGGAATATGATGTCATCATTAAGCTGTGTGCGAGGGCGGGGGAGCAGAGACAGAGCAACCAGCTCTCCCTGCGGCCGCCAGAAGAGCTCACCCTGCGGCCACCAGAAGAGCTCACCCTGCGGCCACCAGAAGAGCTCACCCTGCGGCCACCAGAAGAAGAGCTCACCCTGCGGCCGCCAGCCCAGGCAGCTGTCTGCACACAGGTAGCAATTATGTGTGTCAGTGTGAGTGTATCTGTGTCTGTCTGTGTCATGGTGTGTGTGTGTCTGTCATGGTGTGTGTGTGTCTGTCATGGTGTGTGTGTGTCTGTGTCATTGTGTCTGTCTGTCTGTGTAATGGTGTGTGTGTATGTCTGTGTCATGGTGTGTGCGTCTGTGTCATGGGGTGTGTGTCTAGGTGTGTGTGGGTCTGGGTGTGTGTGTGTCTGTCTGTCATGGTGTGTGTGTGTGTGTGTCTGTCATGGTGTGTCTGTGTCTGTCATGGTGTGTGTGTGTCTGTCATGGTGTGTGTGTGTCTGTGTCATTGTGTCTGTCTGTCTGTGTCATGGTGTGTGTGTATGTCTGTCATGGTGTGTGTGTCTGTGTCATGGTGTGTGTCTGTGTCATGGGGTGTGTGTGTCTGGGTGTGTGTGTGTCTGTCTGTCATGGTGTGTATGTGTCTGTCATGGTGTGTATGTGTCTGTCATGGTGTGTGTGTGTCTGTGTCATGGTGTGTGTGTGTGTCTGTCTGTCATGTTGTGTGTGTGTGTGTGTCTGTCATGGTATGTGTCTGTCTGTGTCATGGTGTGTGTGTCTGTGTCATGGTCGGTGTGTGTCTGTCTGTGTCATGGTGTGTGTGTGTGTGTGTGTTTTTCTGTCTGTGTCATGGTGTATGTGTGTGTGTTTTTCTGTCGGTGTCATGGTGTATGTGTGTGTCTGTCATGGTGTGTGTGTGTCAAGGTGTGTGTGTCTGTCATGGTATGTGTGTGTCTGTGTTTTTAAAAATAGTGTTTTTATTCACCTTTTTTCCCCTCATGTCGTGCTGGTCTCCCTTCAACTGGCCCTGCCTCTATAACTTAGATCTTCAAGCTTGATGATCTCAGCCAATCCACACTGACACAGGAAGCATCTCTAGTGACCGTCTGAGTGTCTGTCACTAGGAAGCAATGTAAACACTGCCTTTTATATGAAAAGTCAGTGTTTACATTGAAAAGCCTGCAGGGACAGGCTATAGACACCAGAACCACTACATTAAGGTGTGTGTGTGTGTGCCTGCTAGTGAGTGAGCTTGTGTTTGTATGTCAATGAGCTTATGTATATCAGTGAGATTGTTTGTCTATGAGCCTGTGTATCAATGAGCTTGTGTGTGTCAGTGAGATTGTCTGTGTCTGCATGTGAGTATGCTTACTATATAATTAAACGTTTTACTCTGAAAGGAGCAATATTTTATATTAGAAAAGGCTATATATTAATTACTCAATCATATGGGGTGTCAAGACATATTACATGCAACAATATATGGCGCAATGACTTATGGGGCTGGCATAGATTTTTTTTTTCCAGGGCTACTTTGTATCCCCAGTCCGGCCCTGAATCAAACTGAGTCTAAAACTATTTCCATATGTCCTTTGCAGACTTTACATGCTGGAAAAACACAGGTGCCAACTGCTGTGGCTTTCTGCAGTGTGCATACTGGCAAGGAGGGCTGGGTTGAGGAGTGGGTGGAAGATGATGTGAAGGATGATGAGGTCCTAAACCCCACATGGAATCAAGGTCAAGCGAGTGACGTGTGCAGTTTGGAGGAAGAGGCGCTGGTCACACAGAGGCACCAGCACAGCATAAGAGGGAGCAGGGTGCAAAAGCGGAGCAGCCGTCCCCTAGCACTCGTTGGCATGTATTAGCTTAAGAATTACCAATTATCCAACTTATTCATGTAGCAATCAAAGGATCCATAATAGACTTGAGCGAACCCGAACTGCAAAGTTCGGGTTCGTACCAGATTTAACAATCCATTCGTAGTTTCACAGTCAGGTGGGCAGTCCGGTGACCAGGACCCAGACACTGTCTGGGCAGCGGTCGGACGCCCGGGACCCAGTATGCCTGATGTTGAAGTTAGGAGTCACAGTGTGGAATGGATTAGCAGGGTCTGGTGCAGGGTAACCGCATGCCCCCTGGTGTTGAGCACCAGCATTTGTGCGGACAAATACCAGGACCCTGATGCAGCTTCAGTAAAAAGAGTACTTGATACCAGAAGCCATCACCAGACTGATCCGCAACTTAGAACAGGATGTGACATTCACTGTGCGCGCTTTTGGTGTTCTCACCCTGCTGCTGCTCGCCTGTCTGTGCTGCAGTGTAACTTTGGCCTTCTCATGAGACTTTGCGAGCAGCAGCAGGTGATAGTGAAGTTTCAGCTGCAGCATGGACGGGTCAGTGGCTCTGCACCAGACTTCCCTCCAATTGATCAGAGTTTAAGTGGACTCATTACAATTACAGGGCCTCTAAAGAGTCCTGTATTGTTATTTGTCGTCACTACCTTCCCGCGTCGGGAGTGCGTCATTTGCACGCCTGCCGCCTTCCTTGCATGTGGTAGCCGTTTCTCAAGGACCCTGTACGGAATGGAACCCTGATTCCCGTTACCTGTGGTCACCATGATAGGCGCAGAAACTGGCATCGAAAGTTGATATGGATGACATCCGCATTGCAAAGTCGCTGCCACGGGGATGTGCAATTGGTTCTCTAGAGTCAACAAAGTTCCTGCGCAACTATAATGTCAACAGCTACTCTGCGGAACAGAGTTTTCTTTTTTATATGTCCCAATATTTTGGGGGCTACCCCAATTAATATATATATATATATATATATAAAACAGTATTGGCTACCTCCTCCTTCACCGCCGCTTCCACCTACACCACCACAGTCACCGCCTCCTCAACCTATGGGTAACTTAGTATAGACTATGTACACAAAAGCAGAGGCTTGTGAAGGCCTTTTCTCCATGCATCAGGAGATGAGCTCAGTTTGAACAATGAAAGAGAATACCCTGCACTCCAACCCTCTCTCAAATGGATAATTCTGGTGATCCTCCTGAGAGCCATGCTTTAGATTTTGATTTATGTTCTTCCAAAGCTAAAATCAAATATTCCATCTAGTGCTATTTTATGGCTCAGCTGTATTATTAATTTTTATGTTATTTTAAGTGATTTCCCTATGCATATTTGTTTGCAGGGCACTTGTCCTACTCTTAACCCATTTTACTTGTTTTTGCAGCTCTCTAGCCCTTTCCAGGAGTTTTAGAGGGATTTTTGTGGCCAAAAGTTTGGGTCCCCATTGACGTCAATGGGGTTCGGGTTCAAGTTCAGGGTCATGTTTGAGCTCGAACCCGGATTGTTTTTCCAGACTTTTTTTCCAAGTTCGTCCGAACCCGCCGGACCCGAACATCCAGGTGTCTGCTCAACTCTACTCATGAATACAATAGTACCCCCAATGTACAGGTTTTATGGGGGTTTGGAAACTTACATGGTTAAATATAGGGCTTTCCTCTACTCTATTTTTAGAAATTGAAATTTGCCAGATTGGTTATGTTGCATTTGAGACTGTATGGCAGTGCAGGAATGAAAATGAGCCCAATCATGGCATACTATTTGCAAGTAGACAACTCAAGGTATATTTAAAATGTGGTATTTTCAGTCTTTTTTAGTAGCCACTTAGTAACAAACACTGGCCAAACTTAGCATTCATATTTGTTTTCTGCATTTTTCGCACAAAAACTGTATTTTAACTGATAATTTCATAATCATGATACATTTTAATGTTTAAAATCACTCATATTTTTCTTTAGCAACGTCTCCAGAGTACAACAGTACCCCCCATGTACAGGTTTTATGGTGTTTTGGAAAGTTACAGTGTCAATCTAGGGCTTGCCCATTTCATTTTGACAGATCGGTTTGTGGGGCCTATGTTGCCTTTGAGACAATATGGCAGCCCAAATATAGACAGCCAAGGGTATTCAAAATGGGTTACGTCCAGTTTTTTGTAGTTGCCACTTAGTCAGAAACCATGACTAACATTTGCGTTTATATATTTTATTTTATTTTTCACACACAAACGGCACTTTCACTGATATCATCTTTGTGATACATTTTACTGTTTTAAAACACTCATATTTGTGTTCTGTGAACTCTTCCAAGCACAACAGTACTCCCAAATGTACAGGTTTTATGGTTTCTTGGAAAGTTACAGGGTTATATATAGTGCTTGCAGATTAAATTGTCTGGACTTTGTCTGTGTATATATGTATATATATATATATGTATATATTTAAGGCAGGTCCCTTAAATATATACTTATATATATATACATATATACATACACACATACATATATATATATATATATATATATATATGTTAAGGCGGAGCCTGTAGTTGTGGGAGGGGTTTTACTGGCCTATTTATACTCAGACTTACCTCCACTCAGGGCCGACACCGATTCAGACTACTTTGCGACCACTTCCGGTTCCGGTCCACTTCCGGTTCCGGTCTGCCTCAGCGTTGCTCCCACCGGGAACGAAGTACCACACAGACCTAATCCTGGGTGACTACCACCCTTCACCCACAGCCATGGGCAACTTCCAGCTTCATGGAGGGCACACTTGCCCGCAGGCGATACCGACAGCCAACTGCAATCTATCTGCTGCATTCCGCCCCAGCCGCCGCTTTACGATGTTACATTTGTGCCGTGAGTTCCAACAGTAACGTGAGTATGAAACTGCCGCAGTCTACTCACGCTGCTGCTTTACAGGGTCGCAATAGTACCGCAAGTCACAACGTTATCGTGACTACCCCCGGTTTAGTGCAACTCTTCCGGGCAATCTCCCGGTCCTGGCCACCTTTCACAAAGGCCCTAAGGGGTCGAAACGTTGCCTTTTGGTTCCTTGTTCCAATAAAAATTGCCTACATTTTGGAATATGCTGGAGTGCTTGGATTATTCTTTATATTTAAAACCTTTCAAGACACATCTCCCGCTATGCCCCTTCACCACAGCCACCTAACCCCCTTCAGACACACGGCATACTTACTGTCCACCGCTCATGGTCACCGCCGGCACTTGTGTCCAACCAATCTCCAACCCTCCCATATCTTCCGGGTCCCTATATTCTGCTTCCCGGGTCCTGTTGGTTGTCCCACAGGTTGTAAGTTACCCATGCTGGGCATTATACACATTACTCATCCGGCCATCGAACGGCACTCACGCTGGGACCGACCTAACTTATTTAACCACCGAATACATTCCACTTGGTCAGTCACTTCTTTACATTCGTCCACAATTTCACCACCGTTAGCCAATTCAGCCACTCATTGCATATTTACATTCCTTGTTCTTTGCCTACTGCCCCCTGACAGCCAGCTGGGCATGACAGCCTCGTCATTCGTTGTACATTGCATGATTGTGTCCCTTAGTTTACAATATGGGTTGCTATTTACTTAGTCGTGTTTAATCAAATTTACAGTGAAGTTGTATCCACACAGCAAGTTCCTTAATTAACTTTGTTACCTCATTAGCATATTCTGAGGTTTCATGTAGGTATATGTTAATCCACTTCCCAATTGGAGGGTTCCTTTAAATAAAAAAAAATTTAAAAAAATCCTACGCTACTCTCTTGTATATTTGCGACTTTCCTAGTTTAGTGCTTTCCAAATAAGCACAGTAAGGCCGCTAGGTTCACACTCACGTTCGGCCACCATTTGCATGTCTGGGTTGTGGAGCCTCAGCTTTGTTAGATTTTGGTTGTACGTGGGTATGTACAACATACAGTCCTACATTACCACGTGCATTCTTTCCTGCTCGCCGGTTAGTACACTAGGTGTTTATGGAGTCACTCAACTGGTTACTCAGCAATCTCTCGACTCCCATAATATCTCACCTAATAATTGATCATTCTGTATTCACGCTTGAACTATCCACACGACACCCAGATGGTAGCCTACTAAGACTTACCTCAGCCCCTAATTAGTACATTAAGTCCAATTACTATTTTGCTTACTTCGGTGTGCGTATGCGGCTAGAACCACACATCTGTACAGTCAACACTGAATCCGCACTCTATCTAAAATACATCTAATAAGTCACGTACTACCTGTATGTGTCCACCTTGCCATCATAGTATTACTATGGGCTTGGCCTTGTACTGTTTACCTAAGTCACAGCCCTCCCTAGGCCTGCACATGGCCATCATGGTGCTTACTATTACAGCCTACTCTCTTCCCCTCCTATTTGGCAGCGCATATGGAAGCCATACGGCTTCCCTGGATTATACACGGCTCTAGCATGCCATGTTCAGGATACACCTTCCAGTCACACGGCCACTTCTACCCAGCAGACTGCACCCGGGGCATTACAGTGGGACTAAATCCTTTGTTTACATACATCTATCCACCCCCCCCCCCTTATTATGCCACTTCAGCTGTCACCTTGATATATCTTATGGGCAACCAGGTAAACGATTATTCTACATACCAATTTGTTGCAAGTCATTCATTAATGAAGTAACGTGGCCACAGCTTATAGATGGCCTGCCATTGCATCATACAATTCTATTTTTCTACCCCCTACTACCCTTGAGAGGCCAGCACATATGTCAGAGATCTTCTACTGCCCACTCGCTGTTCCCAGGCCATTTTACGGCCCCCACTATCTTGGCTTCTTAACCGACTGTAGCCACGCACAATAGATACATCCATTAGGGCACGTTACACAGCTGGTCAGCTCCTACATCAGTTCCAGCCTATGAGAATTAACTACCACTATAATACGGCAGTCAACCATTACTCACGGCCTCTCCCATATGTTCTGAACAACCTCTGCAGGCTATCCTATACACCCACACTATAAATCCTCGAATGACCAATTACACATGGCATAATCTCTACATTCTGGCACTTAGCGTTCAGTAATACCACTATGCGCAGCCTCGCTAGGCCATCACTACCTAAGTTACACACGGCCCTTCGCGGGCAATCATTACGACACTATTACAGCCCCTCACTTGGGCATTTGCAAACGACAGCGGCATAATTGGGCCCACTCAAGTCCTCGTACGATCCTCTCCACACTATGATTATCCGTACAGTTGCAGGCAATTCTTGTATATCTGATTTGCTTTCCCGACATTAAACTATAAAGGACCACTCTAGGCACCCAGACCACTTCAGCTTAATGAAGTGGTCTGGGTGCCAGGTCCAGCTAGGGTTAACCAATTTTTTAATAAACATAGCAGTTTCAGAGAAACTGCTATGTTTATTAATGGGTTAAGCCTTCCCCCAAAGCCTCTAGTGGCTGTCTCATTGACAGCCACTAGAGGCGCTTGCGTTTTCACTGTGATTTTCACAGTGAGAGCACGCCAGCGTCCATAGGAAAGCATTGAATGCTTTCCTATGCGACCGCTGAATGCGCGCGCAGCTCTTGCCGCGCGTGCGCATTCAGCCCGAGGAGGATCGGAGGAGGAGAGCTCTCCGCCCACCGCTGGAAAAAGGTAAGTTTAAACCCCTTTCCCCTTTCCAGAGCCGGGCGGGAGTGGGACCCTGAGGGTGGGGGCACCCTCAGGGCACTATAGTGCCAGGAAAACGAGTATGTTTTCCTGGCACTATAGTGGTCCTTTAAGACATGGGTCGAACACATACTTCAGCTCCTTCGGAAATACCCCTATACCCAGCCCTCAATAGGCCGTCACTACTTAAGTAACATGCGGCCTGCTGTGGGCAATTCTCTATGACACTATTCCGGACCCTCACCAGGGCTATTACCTACATCCGGGGCCTCCTCAAACCCACTAAATACCTTGCACGACCCTCTCTACCTGCATTTCAATGTCCAGTCGCAGGCTTAAGGAATCTCTGACATTCACGTAGAGTCGTTGGTTCAATGACCAGAAAGCCTT